TCCTGAACAACAACTGCTTTCCGTCTACATATAGTACTTGCCTTATCATTGGCAGTCTCTTGATACGTTCAAGCACATTTCCCTCTTCAAAACTGAAGTACTGTAGAGCTATAATGAATGTGTGTCTCTGTGCTTCAGATCTGAAAGGAAAGATGTAATTTGGGACAAACATGATTGCTTACTCTCTTTTACAAATGCCTTAAACTAAATGGGTCTTTCTCTAGGATGTTACTACAGCTGTGAACCATAGGCCTAGGATACCAAGAAACAACCCAGCTGGTTTAAAGCAGTTGTGATGGTATTGTGTGCATTTTGAATCATGTTTCTGTCTTTGAATGAAAATCAAATAAAAAAAATCTTATTTATTATTTATTTATTAAGAAGATTTATATGGCCGTCCAATTCACAATGACTCCAGACAGCTTGTATAAGTAAAACTTGGGATTTGTATAGAATTTTGGACAGATAACAGAGCACACACAAAAAAAGCATATCCCTTCTTTTTTTTTCCTTAGGATTACAAAATAAACTCCAAATTTAGTTTGAATACCTATGGGGTTATAATCAAATTCCTCCTAATTTGACTTTGGCATGATTTTTTTTAAAAATTCTTCATCAATCGCCCAAGATATAATACCCTGTCTCGATGAAGGATGTTCTTAAAATGTTTTAGATGCATAATATGCATTAATATCAGCTTTTTAAGGTATTGATATTTATGTATTAGTTCTGCTCAGTCATTTTTCAGTCTGTCGGCATACACCACAAGGCAAGAGGAAAATGATACAGATTAAGAAATATGCACATATTTATTTCCATGAAGACAAATACAGAATTGTGAAAGTGCATTTAGAGATTCTGAGCATTTCCTAAGCCGATCAGTTGCACTTCCCAATGCTTCATATTGAAACTGATCTGCATCTTTGCCTCTCCCAACCTTAAATGTCTGAGAACCTGCAGAAATCACCATCATGAAATTAATGCTCCCCTTCTGATAATCACTCAAAGCATACAAAATTTGTTATCTAATTGTTTCTTCGTGTATCAAAAATGCTAAAATGGGAATTGCTGGTTTTCAAAAGGGAGGGAGGGAGGGAGGGAGGAAGGGTAATTGCTATGACATAAATATTTCTAGCCGAAAAACCGCGTGTAGGTTGTGATAATGAAATGTATTTTCCTGAAATGTCTAGCATGGTCAAAACTTCTAGCATAGTGAGTGGATGCAGTAAATGGAAAAGAATTATTTACAAATAGTCACCAGCATAAGTATTGGGGAGAAAGGATTAAATTTATATCTCAAAGTCACAACCAAAATCCTGTGATTTATATACAGGCATCCAGTGTCAAGTTGTTAGTATGAAAGGCCAGACTTAAGACTCTGGTTTTATAATAGACATTCCATCATTTTTCATCACTACAATTAGCAGCAGTTGCCCTTATCAATGTGACCAGGGTGTTGGATTTCTGGGTTAAGAGACAGAGCAAAGCAGAATTCTTACCAGTGGGAAAATAAGCCACCTATCAACTTTTGTCTCAGTACAAAAGAAAATACCTTTTCTTGGTTTCAAATAAACTGATGTCATTATGGGAGTACAGTATTGGTTTTTTTAGCTAGTTCTGCCTGACCCGATGGATCCGTGTAAAAATCCCATTGACTTGTATTAATATTGTTGACTGTTTTGCTCTTTCGATACTGATTTTCCTTAGTTTCGTCTATTAAACACAGCAAAAAAAGCCTATGTTGTAATTAGTCGCAAATTGGTTTTGTAAACAGCCTTCTGGAAATTCACAAGTTGAAACAAGAAAGATAAGTAAGGATTAATGAAGGGGAAGAAAACAGGTGGAATTTGTGGAACAGATGTCAAATAAAGGTAAGGGTAATACAATTAAAAAACAAAAACTGTTCCTTTGTGTATTCTGATTCTGCTTGTGAACTTTATGTTAACTGTTCAGTTGAAGCAAAGCAAACTTATATTTTCCTGGCCTCTTGACATCTGGTACCAGAAGTCCATTTGTAACAAATCACATTATATGAAAGGCTGACAGATCTTATGATAAATTGATACTCTACTTCTCCAACCCCCTGTAACAGTGAAAAATACACTTTAGATGGCATTTAAATGTCACTGGTCAAGAGGAAAGAAAAGATAATTGTATTTTCTTTTTAACTTTATTGATTTAGAGCCAACTAAGTTCAACTAACTTTATTAGTTATCTCTTAAAATTTGAGTTTATGTATAAGTAATAGCTTCTTTGCTACAAACAAGCACTAGAGATAGATCCATATCTGGATCATCTAAGTATCATGCTAATTTCAATGCATTTTTATACATTATAACGTATTTTTGTTCTCTTCAATCATTAAAGATATCAAACTGGCTTTTAAAAGATCAGTGACTGGACTGGGAGGAATAACCTTTATTTAGTTGACAGCCTTAGGAACAACACTCTGTTTGACAGTGGGAAACATTATCTTGAGAGGTGACCCTTCATTGTATGTAGTCAGACAGAGAAGGAAAGAGCCATTTGGATTTCTGCAGTGAATGGATAATTGAAATTGATTACCTAAATGTCCCCTTCCAAATTCTATGATTCTATACTTCTATGATGGATGGATGGGCTTAGGCAAACAGTGTGTAAGACTAAGACCATGATCTCTAAGTCTAAGTCATTTTGCTCTGTAGATGAAGATCAGGATGCTGAACTTCCATTCCATGTTCAAGACATGACTGGTTTAGCAGTAGCATCTATCATCAAGATTTGATAGAACAAGAGTTCATACTTCACTTCTGAATGTAGCAGTTTGGGGAGCACAGAGCAAATTATCTGGCATACAGGTTACTCATTCAGTAACTTGCTTAGGACTACCAGATAAGGGCAGCAAAAAATCATAATGACTAGATCACAGGTTCCCAACCCCCAGTCCGTGGACTGGCACCAGCAACCGGTCCACACAAACAAGTGAAGCTCTATCTGCAGGATGTAGGCAGCATGCAAAACCATGCCCTCTCCACTCCACAGAAAAACCTTCCTCCACAGAACCAGTACCTGGGGCCTAAAAGGTTGTAGGCCACTGCACTAGATGACAGCAAGGTGATACTGATGATAATCATATGCCAATGGATGAGCTTACTTAATAGCTCTGTGTGGATGTTACATTGGAGCAGAGAGAGAGACCTGAGGATGAGGGATCTTACAGGTAAGACTCCTTTCTTACCAATAGCTACTGAAATCAGTCCTGGGGGAATGAGGAGAATCATCTCAACACTTTGCCCCCCCCCATCCCACCCTTGACGTCAACCCAGAATACCATATCAATAGCTCAAGGCCACTGAGAGATCAAGGAGATTTACTGTAGAATGGGTGCATCACCCCAAACCAAGTTTTATCAGAGATAATCAACAACCATGATCAATACCATTTCAGTAAGGTATTCTATTCTGAAATCTGACTGAACAGGATCCAGATAATCTGCTTCTCTCAGGGCCATTTGAAGCTACAACCACACTTTTAACAAATTCCCCAACAGGGGAAGATAGGAGACTGGATGAAAATTGGCCAACACCCAGTACACAAATGAAAGTACTTTAGACTAATTGGATTATCAACATAGATAGAGTATTTATTGAATGGAAAAAAGGGATTATGCAAAACAAAATTATTTTACAAGTCTAATGTGCACTAAACCAACAAAAATGGCATACTACAAAACAAGTAAATTTTTCAAATAAAAATAAACACAATTATATCTTATGCACAAGATAAAAACATTTAATAACCAACAAATAATAATGTTACAAATATTAATGAAAATGCTTAGTTCTTAAATAGTCTTTTAGCTCTGAACAGCTGAAATATGTCTAGCTCTTTTTATATGTCTAAAGTTTTATGGTATCTTTCCGAATGAGTGCCTAATTCAAGTCAAATTCTTACCATCCTAAATATTGCCAATGTTTTCATGTTATGTAAATCAATTATGTATTTGTTAATATTTTTGTAGGCAATTTTATTAACAATAACAATAGAAAAGTTTACTGTGCAGGTAAAAAGCATAGTGTTTTTTTCTCATTACTGGAAAACTTAAATTCTTTGTTTTTATGCAACTTCTTAAAACATGTTCAAAAAACCCACCTCCAAATAGCTGATTTTGACGGGCTGAAATTTCCTAAGCAAACTGGGCATTTAAAAAGTAGTTTCAACAGTTTTAAATGAAGCAAAGATATTTGCTTATAAAAAAATTAAAGCAGAAAACCATACATTCTTTGCAAATCCATCTCGCTGTTTCTTTGCATGGGGCTTTATTTTAATTGACAGATATCACAATGACTACCATAAAGGTAAATGTAAAAGTTTCCCCTGTCCGGTCATTTCTGATTCCAAGGAGTGATCTTCATCTTGTTTCTTAGCCAAGAGAGCCAGCAATGTCCAAGGACATTTCCATGGTCATGTGGCCAGCACGACTATATGCCAAAGCACAAGGAACACTGTTACCTTCCCATTGAAGTGGCACCTATTTATCTACTCACATTTGCATGCTTTTGAACTGCTAGGTGGGAGAAGCTGGGGCAAGTAACAGAGCTCACACCATCACACAGCACTCAGGTCTCATACATAGGCTTTCCAGCTGACAAGCTTCGTGTGTTTAACTGTGCCCCCATAACTACCATAAACTCCTGAGTTTAAAATATTATTACACATGGAAGGGATAAGAATGAATAGAGCTACCACATCTGTGCTGCAAAACTCCAGAGAGCCACTAGGTGGCAGCAAAGAGATTTCCTGGGTCTCTCCTGTGCCTGTCATTTTGTGGCCTTCCACCTCTGAATTAGAGTCTGGTGGCCTGTAATGAAAGTGCAAATTCTTTAAAAAAAAGAAACACCATAATTGGTTCTGTATGGCAGTTTATTACTAGCAATTAATTCAAGTTTAAGGTCGCAATGGAAAAAGACGCTCTGGAGCAATATAGTAAACAAGTTAACTGTAAGCAATCATTTCATTTCTTTTTCTTATGTACCATTTACACAACTCAGAAAGTAAGCAATAGCTTTGCCTGAGACTACCATTCAAGAAGAAGTAGGAGGTAAATGTATTTTAGGAAGTGGGACAATATAAGGTTTCAGAAATATAACTGCAATGTTGATCATCAAGTTTATGTATATCCTATCAGGCTACCTAAACAATCCATGGGCAATCACAGTAAAATATGCAAAAAAAACCCTGCAAAATAAAGTCTGTAAAATATATTTATTTGCAAATCTTTCGTCCCATCTAAAAATGTAATTAAGTTGTTGAACTGCAAATACACTGATCTAGATTCAGGTCTACATTCTATGAAGATCAGTGGGTGCCTTTAGGCTAATCACATTATGTCAGACGATCTAACTCACAAGGTGGTATAGATCCAATTACCCATCCCTGCAACCACTTTGAATTCCAAGGTGAAAGATGGAATCTACAGTAGATGTAATGAATCCAGGGAATAGGTTTACCTTCCTGGCAGTGAACTGTACAGAGTAGAACTGAGTAAACATGCATAGAGTAGCACAGTTAATTACACCTTGACTCCGATAATTCTCCAGTAGATTACAGGGCTCAAATGACTATCACTGACGATGGGATAGGAAAGAATCAGAATGTTTATTGTTTCATCTGGAAAAAAAATTACAACACATGCCTTATAACCTAAATCTTTCTACTTTTTTCATATAAGTATATAAGTATAATCATATTCCTTTTTCATAACAGAAACATTTTGCAAAGTGAATGCAGTCATGGTTATATATGATTGCAACTATCATATGCCTACCCAGTCATTTAAATCTTCCATTATGCATCAATTTTGTTATTATTGATAGCTTATTCTTTTCTTCTTAAAAAGAGCTTTTGTTGCTATTATATGCTGAGGATGGTTTCTAATTCATCTGGCAGAAGTAAATCTTTCGAGTTTCTGTTTATAGAAATTCCACTGTTCATATTTGGATGCTAAGTGATACTTTTGTGGTATAGCAAGGAACAATCTCTGTAAAGACAAAGCATAAATATATCATATTTTGGTCATTTTGTGGCTAGCATAACTTTTTGAAAACAATTAGGCAGATATTAAACCCATCTTTCTGATATAGCTGAAAGAATCCATTCTCTTTTGTTCAAAACTAATATTCATATTATAAATTGTTTCACTGAAAAGCATGTACCATTTTAAATAGAAAAATTCCATTATCTTTAATACTATTCTTTCTAGAAATACAACTGGTGTTCATAGGGAATAATGTGGGGAACAAAAGGGAGATGCTTCTGAGTCTCTAATGGGTTAATGGAATTCAGAATAATCTAGTATAAGATAGATCAGAAATACATGCAACAAGGGACCATGCAAGAAAATGTTTAAAAAGGCCCCAGGGGAGATATATAACACTCCATCTATAAAATATCCAATTAATTCCCAGAACCCACCCCAATTGTTTTTAATAAATTAATGAACATCCCAATCTTGTGAGATCGTCAAACCTTTTGAAATTTCAGCATTTTTGCATCTGAAATAATTCCCAGATCCTGGCTTGGAATAAAGTATGAGAAATGCATCAAAATAGGCTCTAAGTATGATTCAGTTTGCTAAGGCCCAAGCCATCTTCTGCTCTTTCCTGCACACCAGGCAAGTTCCCACACTGTCTTCAAATAAGCCTCTCTGCTACTCATGTTTTATTGGTCTCTCCTGGAGGTCAGGAAGCTGACAAAATGATTTTGTTCACAGGTATTGACTTCCAGTCACAAGGCAATTCTACTTTTGCTGCCAATGGACTAAATAGGGCTCTGTCTCTGCTATACTGTAGTTTTCTTTTTGCTTTCCGTTCCATTTCCCGTACCTGTTGAATTCAAGATTGGGATTTATAATATGAACCAATTATTGGTACATGAGAGAGAGAGAAAAATGTTTGCAGTGGACCAATCCAGAGCAGGTAGGCTGTTTGTCTACGCCTACGGGATCCTTGGTGCTCTCTGAGCTTGGATGTTTTTTGCAGACATTTCATTACCCAACTAGGTAACATCATCAGTGTTAGAAGAGAGGGGAGTTTGTTCTTATTTTACAGTATATACTAGTGGCTTGCCCTATCATTGTTGGTGGTGGTGTTCTTGGTGCTTCCTTCATTGGGCTGTTGCTTACTGTTTGTCTGAGTTGCTAGTTCCTTGATTGGGTATTGTCTACTTCTTGGTTGTGGGTCTAGAATTAATCTTGGTGTCAATCTCTGCTTATCTGTGTGTTGATTGCTGACAAAAAGATGTTTTGGTCCTATTTCCTTTTTAGCTTTTTGATTATCTATTTTGAATGGTATGTAGATGTTGTTTATCCGTATGTGCCTGTTGGTGGCTGATTTGTCTGAGTGCCAGGCTTCCAGGAATTCTCTAGCATTTTTGGACTTTAATCTATCTAAATGCTCAATACATGAAGTTAAGCATCTTCAACAAACCTCAATCAAGAGAAAATGTATCACTCCTATGTAACTTTAATTTCCAAAGTTTTCAAATCAAAACAGGTATGCATGATACACAGCCTAGTCAGGCTGAATACCAGCTTCTCGTCTGGGAAATTTCAGAAATATATTATGAGGAAATTATAATCTTGATTACATGTATACTGAAATGTACTCCAACAAGACGGAAAATGGCACAATGAGCTTTAATTACTAAGAACTTAAATTTAGGTTGGATTTTAGGGAAAGCTTCTTATCCACATAAGCGATTAAATAATGACAGCTTTGGATGAAGAACCTATTGCCCAAAGAATGTGACTACATCCTAAATATCCATTGTCATAAATAATATTTTCCCATGTTTATGTCTCATTTATATGATCACTGTGGTCTTCTTGGCTTGTCTGCCTACATCACTTGCCTGGCAAGTGGGCAGGCATATAAATTAAATCAAGATGTTTAGAAACAGTGTCTATTAGGTACTTCTCTCTCCCTCATTCTCTTCCCAAATGGCAGAGCAAGCAGCAACCCTTTTCTGGACCCAAAGCAGGAGGGGAAACTACAACAGCCCCAGAAAGGCTCCTGTATTGTTCTTCTCATTGGAAAGGCTAAAGTAGGAATGGACTGACTTTTTCATGTGGGGGACACACAAGTGCAGGTGGTGATCGGCAGAGCTAGTGTCAGAAATACAGGTAGTCCTCAACTTATGCCCAAAACCTACGTTGCTAAGTGAGAAAATTGTTAAGTGAGCTTTGCCCCATTTTACAACATTTCTTGCCACATTTGTTAAGTAAATCACTGCAGTTGTTAAGTTAGTAATACAGTCGTTAAGTGAATCTGGTTTCCCCATTGACTTTGCTGGTCAGAAAGTTGCAAAAGGTAATCATATGACTCCGGGACACTGCAACCGTCATAAACATGAGTCATTTTTCAAGCATCCAAATGTAAATCACGTGATCATGGGGATGCTACAATGGTCATATCTGTGAAAAATGGTCACTTTGAACAGTGACTGTTGTGAACCGTTGTAAGGTGAAGATTACCTGAAGACAAAATTAACAAATGGTACCACTGTATAATATCCCTTTGCTCTGAGCCACTCCATTCCCCTCTCTCTCTTTTGTCCCATTTCTATTCTCCATTCTTTTCTTCTCTCTGTTTTATTACAGTCCATACCTTCCTCTCCATCTTATCCTTTTTCCATTTCATCCCACTGAAATCAACCCAGAGGCTACATGACATGAAAGTTCCTCCCTTACTCAAGTTAAGCAACTGATGCCATTGGTTGAGGCATACACCTGTGCATGCCACGTTTCAGTGTCTTGTTATTAGATGGTTTTACATATTATACAAATCCCTGGTTTATTGAATTAACTGTGGTAAGATGAATGTTTATAACATACTAAACCACAATTTACTGGCCTCAGTATCTCTGATCACTTAACACTGATCACTTAACAAGTTTTGCTAAAATCAATTAAGCATAAAGCAAACTGAAACAGGGTTAGGGTCATACCATCACTTTGTAATCCATTTGTCAGCTCCTTCCCTCAATAGCTCCCAGCTGGAGTAAATATTTACTTTCATGTTGTGTAATATATAGCCTATTTGCTCTAAAAATGACACTGATTGGTAAGCACTTATGGCACAGTTTGACTAAATGGGAATAAAAACAAATATCTTAACATTTGTGGTTTAGACAGCTTCTGACAAAACAAATGTACATCAAGAAAACATTCTGATTCAAAGATTAATAGACTAAAGAAAGTTAGGATGATACAAAATCAACTATTGTAAACAGGGGGAAATCTCATCTCCTAGAAGAAACGTGCTTCTTCTGGATAAACACAAGTTTGAGATTGTCCATAAACTAGTCTGAACAAAAAGCTATCACTGTCCATTTCCTTAATGAATGTTTAAGAAAGTATTACTGGCATCAGTTTTTGGGCCTGACTCCAAGAAGACCTAAGGCTACCCCTAACCCTAAGCATAATTTAATTTTCATTGGCAATGGAATTTTTGCATGCATTTTACAATGATCCAGAAGTAAGACTGAACGATCAACTATCATCATCACTTTTCTTAGAGAACCTCTTAGAATCTATCCATGACATCATTTTTAGCCCTGACTCCACGAAAACCTATCCCTAAACCTAACACCATTTTCATTTTCTTTTGCAAAAGGATTTCATGATCCACAAAAAAGTCCCAATGAGAAGCTATAATTATCAATATCCTTAAAGAACCACTAAGAACTTATACTTTCCAGAAGTTTTGGGGCTAGACTCCAAGTGAATCGAACCATAACCCTAACCCACTTTTAATTTTCATTGAAAATGGGATTTTCGCATGTATTTTACTGTGGTCCACAAACAACTCCAAATGAAAAGTTACATCTTCGCTTTCCTTAGAGAAATTTTAAGAATCCATCCCTGACATCAGGTTTTTGCCCTGACTCCAAGGAGACCTAACCTTAACCCTAACCCTATCCCTAACCCAAGCCTAGTTTTCAATTTCCATTTGCAATAGGATTTTCCCAATGGAAATTAAACTAGAGTTGGAATTTTTCCATGTATTATACTGCGGTCCATAAACCAGTCTGAATGAAAAGCTTTCATGTTCACTTTCTTAGAGTACATTAAAGAATCTATTCCTGACATCAGTTTTCAACCCTGATTCTAAGGAGACTAATTCTAATCCTAACCATAACCCAACCATAGTTTCATTTTCATTGGCAATGGAATTTTCTCATGTATTTTCCATAAACAAGTCCAAAAGAAAAGGTTTAATTGATGCTTTTCTTACAGAACCACTGTAAATCTATCCCTGACATTAGTTTTCAGCCCAGACTCCAAAGAGACTTTATCCTAACTCTACACCTATACCTAATCCAACCTAGTTTAATTTTCATTGGCAATGGGATTTCCCCATGTATTATAAAGTGGTACACAAATTAATCCAAACGAAAAGCTTTCAGCTCCTTTTTCCTTAGAGAACTTTAAAGAATCTATTCCTAACATTAATTTTTGACCCTGACTTTAAGGGGACCTAACCCTAATCCTAACCCTAATTCTAACCCAACCATAGTTTCATTATCATTGGCAATAGAATTCTCCCATGTATTTTCTATTAAAAAGTCCGAATGAAAAGCTTTAACTAATGTTTTCTTTGCCAATCTATCCCTGACCTTAGTTTTCAGCCCTGACTCCAAGGAGGCCTCACTCTAACTGTAACTCTATCCGTAACCTAACCCTAGTTTAGTTTTCTTTTGCAATGGGATTTTCCAATGTATTTTATTGTAATACATATACAAATCTGAACGAAAAGCTTTAACTTTCACTTGCCTTAGAGAACCACTTAGAGTCTATCCCTGGCATCACTTTTCGGCCCTGACTCCAAGAAGATCTAAGCCTAATTCTCACATTATCACCTTAGTTTAATTTTGTTTGCCAATAGAATTTCTCATGAATTTTACTGTGGTCCATAAACTAGTCTAAACAAGCAGCTTCCTGGTAGAATCTCTAAGAATCTATCCTTGACATCAGTTTCTGTCCCTGATCCAAGGAGACCTAATCCTAATCCTAAACCTAATCATATCCTTAACGAAAGTAAATGTATTTTACTGTGGTAAATAAACAACTCTGAACAAAAAGCTGTCACCGTCGCTGTCCTTAGAGAACTTCTAAGAATCTATCGCTGATATCTGTTTTCAGTTCTGATTCCAAGGAAACATAACCCTAATCCTAATCCTAACTCTAACACTAATTCTAACCATAACCATAACCATAACCTAAATTCATTTTCATTTGCAAAGTGATTTTCCATGTACTTTAATGGGGTCCACAAATGTATAACAATTTATTGTTCTGCCCTGACTCCAAGGAGACCTAACTCTCACCCTAATGGTAACCCTACTTTAATTTTCATTGGTAGTGGGGGGGGGGTTCCCATGCTTTCTACTGAAATTTTAGCAATCAATGAAGATAGGCAGATGTTGAACTTATTCCCCGTGCTTAGATATACAGTAACTGTGAATATTGTTTGATACATGCATCAATTTTCTATAATAAATAACACTGGGCAGACAAAAATGTCAGAAGTTGAGATGTTACATATTAGTTTTCCATCTTCCTCATTTATCATGCATCAATAGTCCATTCTATCTAAAGGATACTTCAGTTTTGTTAAATCTGCACTTCTGATTTCAAAAGAAACCTGGCACATATAAATTACCTGTGGAGTGCTTTCTAGACACATTTCCATGAATGAAAAATCTTAACCTCTTTAACTTTCTAGGTGTCATTCTGCTATTAAAGGCAGAAAGGAAAGGAAAGGAGCAACTTTTTATTTTTGATTACATGGTTTAAAAGAAGACAACGGGCAGAGAGAAGGGCAAAAGTAAACCTTGGAAACCATCACTTCTGTGAAGTTGCTTTAATATTCATTCTGTAATTGTTGGCAGATATAGAAATAAAATGGTCTGCCAGGAATTAAGCAAGAGGTTAACATTTGCTTTGCTATAAAGGAACATGCTAGATGCTAGAGAGAAAAAGGAAACCTTCTAAAATTGCCCTCACATTCCTTTTTTGAGATGCTGTGTGCACCTTTCTATCCTAACAGTTAGAAACTAGCTCTCTTTTTAAAAATAGAAACACTGACATTACTAATTGACTTCCAATGCAATTATTTTATTTCTTCACTTTTAGTAGAGGCTGAAATGTCTATAGTGCTGTACTTGACAGATTCCTCAATTTAGCAGACAGCTGGATTGAGGGTATGTATTCTCCCTGCCCATAATGCTTAGTTTTCTCTACCAAATTCCAGGTTCCATATGAAATCCTTTACATGGAACCAACAGGCATATACAATTCAGTATTTTCCAAATGTGTCCAGAAAAATCAGTTAGAATGAAAATAAAGTTAGTTTGGGAGTTTCATTTAGATCAGGGGTCTTCAAATTTGGCCCTTTTATGACTTGTGGACTTCAACTCCCAGAATTCCTCAGTCAGCCCCGCTGGCTGAGGAATTCTGGGAGTTGAAGTCCACAAGTCATAAACGGGCCAAGTTTGAAGACCCCTGATTTAGATGCATCCATACCTCTGTCTTGTATATCTGTAATATAGGCTTTCATAAATTCTTTTTCAAACAGCTCACGGTCTCGGTCACTTTCTGTCATTTCTTGAATCTCCTGGAATGAGGTTGTTTCAAGAGGGTTATCCTTCAGGCTTATAAATCTGCAAGGTGATAACATATTACCATGAAAAGGTTATATAATGCTTCTTATCGTGAGCAGATTGTTACTTGCTATACCCAAATGATTTCTAGCCCTACAAATTTTCTGTTCTTCCTACTTTGTCACAGAGCAAAGTCAATTTGTCTATGAACAAAACTTTGCTACAATGTTCATTATCTATTAGAAATATTAATTAAGAAGTGTCCTTCCTAGAAGCAAGCATAGGAAATACTAAACATGTAAGCTTAATTATTCAATCAAAAAGTATCCCCATGTGTCTTGGTGACTGAAGCTGCTAATGTCACATCATAGTCATTGAATATTAATTTGTATGGCATTTTTTAAAACAAACAAATACACATAAACACACACACAAACAAACAATTGCCCGACTTATAGCAGGAGATTAGGAGCAATGTAATGCCCAGAATCTCATTTGTGTATTGTTAACAAAGAATTCTGATCCTCCTTATCCAGTTTTGTGGAATATTTATTCCTAATTATTCTTCTGAGAACAGGACTGTTTTCAGAGGCAGAGGCCTTGGAGTTTATGTCAGTATGGACCAAGTGGTCTTTTATCTGGGAAAAATTGATTATGCAATTCACACAGAGGTTACTTTATGCATTTATGATGTATAATTGCACTCCAAACCATAAATGCAAATAATTGCTGTTACATGCTAAATGTTTCTCTTAGCCTACCTCCTTCCTGATTATGACATAGCTGCTACATTTGATATTGTGCTGCCTATTCTGAAATTAAGAACCAAGACAATAACTGGAGTGATCAACAAGCCACCGCAGCCCATATATTTATTATAATATGTTTAAGATGTGTGGCATTAACTAATTAAATTACTGTATTCTCTCATGTTATGCATGGATAGACTCTCAACTTTGTCTGTAGAATCATGTTACTTGATGTCTTTTACTTAAGAGCCACCCATTCAGAATCCAAACAAATAGCAAGACAAAATGCAAAGGAAGAAAATGTGTCTGAATGTAACTGACTTACTTTAAGCCGGTGGAAGAGTCACAGATGGCTGTGGGCATCTGAACCAAATCATTACTACTCACAACCAATAAACTGAGTTTTGGCAAGTTGACCAAGGCTTGTGGAAGGTAGGTCAGTTTGTTCTTCTGCAGAAGAAGAGTTTGTAACTTCTCTAGCCTTAGAAAATTAACAAAATAGCAAAATTAAATGTGCATTATAGAGGGGCTGACAATTTTCTATCGCATATATATATAAGGTGTGAAAAGTGTCATTTGTTTGATATTCTCTTCTAGCTTAGGTTAAAAGGCAGAATGGCTGTTTGATTTCACATTGATGGCAGCAGAAAGATTGCTGACATGCAATTTTTTGAAAAGCAGAGATAATGGACACTATTACATGGCCTTTCAAGCCATTATGCCTGCAGGGTTTCCAATTCATGCAAAACATATGCACAACTATTTATATGGCACATAGGAGAATATGCTACATGAAACCCAGCATGTACAAACAGTAAATCACACAAAAAAACTGTTTTTATAGTTCCATTGCCTTTTGTTTTGGACTTCTGTAATAAATATGAAATTAAAATGGAGTGAATGAAGCACTCCAATGAAGCATAAGTTTTAATTAAAAACTTATGAATGTCAGTTTATCTACTCATTTCTTTCTGGGTTGCAAAGGTGGGATTGTGGCAAACAAATCGGATTCGTGCTGTTTTCTCACACTTATCAAAGGAAATTTGACAAATTTTCAAGTTTAAAAGTGTGCTTAGATACTGCTGTGAGAGATGGGAAAGTGTGTGTGCACGCAATCACAGTACAGTTGCTTTAAATCTGAAAATATATTGGAGAGAGCTGACTTCTGAATCCTATGGGCATATAATGTTATCAACACAGTCCTTTGGTTGGCTTCTATACCTTAATGTTTCAAAAACATAACTTGAGTTGTGAGTAAATTGCAGAATTCTACTGTGTCTGACTAAGGACATTTCCACCCCATTTTCCTTCAGGACCAGTTCCAGACCTGATTGATCTTGCGGCCTCTGTTTTTAGAAGCTCAGACAATTTACTTCCGAGTTTGCCCTAGTTTATTGGAAACTGCTGTAAAGTTGGTATTTTTTTTTCTTTTGACAGATATAGATCTACCAATTTTGTACTCTATTTTCCAGGGACTCATCTTGGATCCTGTTCCAAACCTCAAGACGGTGTTATTCTCTCTGTGTGTGCCCCTGTCCTTCTAGGTCAGGGCTTTTCAACCAGTGGTACGGGTACCACCTGTGGTACATTGGCACCTGGCAGGTGGTACATGACCATCCTAGAAAAGTAGCGGGGGAAGGGAATGAGCTGAACCAGTGGCAGCACTGCACAAGCCTGAGCGAGAGATGGCTGGAGCTGCAGGATTGTCAGGGCTCAGCGGAAGCATCAGGATCAGTGCCGCTTTCCAACTGATCGGCGCTTCTTCAGGACTGTTAGGGCTCAGCGGAAGTGCCAGGATCAGCGCCAGGCTCCAGCTAAAGCTCAGTGCTGATCCTGGCGCTTCTGCTGAGCCCTGAAGAAGCACCAATCAGCTGGAAAGCAGCACTGATCCTAGTGCTTCTGCTGATCCCAGAAGAAGCGCCGATCAGCTGGAATGTTGTAGCATCTGCAGGGTCTTGTGATTTACATTCATATTCTTGGCAACTGATTCATATTTATGATGGTCACAGTGTCCCAGGGTCATGTGAAGTAACCAAAACCTGTTGCAACCACCCAGCAGGCAAAGGTAATAAAAACCAAACACCCCCCACCCCACCCCCACTGCCAATCCTCAACAGAAATGCTCACAACAATGAAAACCTCGATCAGGAGGAAGAGCGCCACCAGGTGGGCAGGCAGATGTCTTGCTCGGCTGTGGCTTGGGGGGCACTTTTTTCAGTGCCATTGTAACTTCGAACAGTCACTAAGCGAACTGTTGTAAGTCGAGGACTACCTATACTTTATCACTTTTTCCCTTTTTTTTTTTTTTGGTCATCAAATTTTTGACACCTTTCTAGGCGACTGGTGGTACTCAGATATTGCCATATCCTAAAAGTGGTACAATAGGTGAAAAGATTGAAAAGCCCTGTTCTAGGTGAACCTCTAAGATGAAGGAAAGTAAGCCTAACATATATGGTCTGCAAAAATCCAAATGGCCACAACATAAATTAAGGTTTTCTGAATCTACCTGTTGCCATCTACCAATCAGCTGGATTTCTGCAGCCTACACTTTGTTTCTTTGTTTGTTTGTTTATGAAGGGTCCTTGATACTCTCTGCTCTTGATGGTTTTCTTGCAAATGTTTCATTATCCAAACTAGGTAACATCATCGGTGCTACTAAGGATTGTGGTTTGCTCTCAGTTTATATTCTAGTGACTTGCCCTGTCAGTGTTGGTAGGAGTGGTTTTGGAGGTACTTGGCTTGAGCTGTTTATTGATTGTTTGTTTTGCAGTTCTTTGTTTGAGGTATTGTTTACTTGATTCTTGGTCTGATATTAAACTTGGAGTTAATCTATGCTCATCTGGGTGCTAATTGCTGGTGGGGAGGTGTGAAGGATACCAGTAATCCCTCATTTCAACCCTGAGCTACAGATATTCTCCTTTATTCATTATTTATAAAATGTATTGACCATCCATCTTACCACAGGTAGCTCTGAACAGCTTACTATCATAACATTGTGTATGTATATGTATTAAAACATAATTAAATTAATACGAGCAAATGCCATTAGCCAATTACAGATGGGGAGGACATGGCAGGGATGCTCGATCAGCCACCTCCACTGTGATGCTCCCCCATTGGGGCCCCAAACTAACTGGCAGGACCAGATTGTTGGCCTCTTACAAAAGGTCAGGAGGGTTGGGGGGGCGCAAGATGTTCCAGAGGGCAGGTGCATCAGCAGAGAAGGCTCTTCTCCTGGACCCCAAAGCTAGATTTATTCTCCACCCTGTTAGAAGAGCACCATCCTGTTCTCTGAACATCTCTTTATGCATTGGCTAAAAGTTATCTTTGCTATTCCATATCAAACAATCATAGCAATGTGTAGCCAGGGCCATCTGTACTGGGAAACACATCTGATTGAAAAATTGCTAGGATTTCAGTACAGAATCTCATAGGGACATTGAGCAACAACACTGATTGGTTTGTGATATTATCTGGGTATATTCTTAGCAATTGAGGATGGGAGAAGTGAAGATTATAGTGGATCAGTTTCAGATTGCTTTGTAAGAGGAGACAAGGAAGCCCTGTCTTCAACAGTGTTGTAAACTCGGCGCTTTGTGACTCTAGCATAAATGAGCTTGACAGTTTTCCAATCACATATAAGTGTTGACAAAATAGCCAGGCAATGCTTTATTTGCTAAAACCAACCGTCACTGCAAAAACCATATAAAAATCTACCTGTCTATGTCTTGTGGGAGATCTCTCAGACCGTTGTTACTTATATCAAGCCACTGCAGATTTGACATCCGGAGTACACATATTGGGATTGAAAAGAATTTGTTTGTTGATACATCTACAAAACTCACTTGTTTCAAATTGCTTAGCTGTAAAGAAACAGTATGTTATTCAATAAACACTCGAGTGAGGAAATAGACTACAATTATAGTTGATATTTTACGGTCAATTGCGCTATGTTGCATATTTGCCATAAGGCTACATTCCATTATTTTCAAAATGAGGCCATGTTCAGAATCAAACGTTTTCAGTGTTTTCTATTTCTTGCATGCAATGTACATCTTCCCTCAGGGAAGTTCCTTGTTTAATAGACTATTGCATTTTATCTGACTGAAACAACAATATTTTACATATTGGTATTCACAGCAGTTCCTATTGAACAGGATTTTGAATAACACAACTCTATAATTATGCCATGTCTGGGTTTTAAACTAGGTTTATGTCTCCTAAATTACCTCTCAGTAATTGGCAAATGGTTCAATTACTTTAATTTTAAAAAAAATAATACAAATAAGTTGCTTTCTTTCTGGGGGCATCCACAGGCTATGACCACAAATGTTGAAATAGTGACCATGATAGTATGACTGAAGCATCGCCTCTTTTTATGTCTGCGACATAAGGCACAGAGAGAGCTTCAATTTCACCCTCATGGCAGCCAACTTGACTTTTTTGACCATACATTGTAAACATCCTTGCTTCGTCCTCATGGTGTGTACCACCTAAAGAAAAGACAAGGTGGCAATCTCATTCTCTATATAGAAATTGATGAGACCTGACAGTTGAATCTCTTACAGATCATCTAAGGATAGCAAGCAACGGCATTGCCAGGTAAGGCTCAAGACAGACAAAATGGTAAGTGTGGTATTGCGATTAAAGCCCTGATCCTTTGTAACTGTGTGTAACATCAATGAACATAGATTTAGATGCTTCAACAGCAATCTTGGTAATTTTGACCCTTGCAGATATTTTTGGCAGTCAAATAATTTGAAGGTATCAGGTAAGCTGAATACCTAAGAGATGTTCAGAAATTTTTGTCCTCCAACATCAGGGAACCACCTGGGGCCTTAAGAAGAATAGGGTTGGGTGAGATTATACTTTCTTTCTGACTCATGTTCACACATACATAATAAATCCATCTCATTGCTTCATAGCAGATCAGATCGTGTCACATCCACTTTCACATATGGAGGAGAAAGATAAAGTTAGGTAATAACTGCAAAAATCTGATAATGACATGGCACCCAAATAAATATTTCATTTGCAATTTCTCCAAACCCAGTAAAGTGAGGCTCAGGAAATACTGCTATTATTATATTCTTGTAAGTTTGAAAAACACAAATTCTAAACCACCCCTGGTTGTACTTCTTGTATCTCAAGAATAGTGATACTTGGTGGTGGTGTCCACAGGGGGAATCAAATTCTGCAAGATGGCTGCACACTGTCATAATCAAAGCCCTGTGTCTTTTGTCACACACATGGGACTTCAATTGCAACGTTATGTCTGCCATCTTGCGGATAATTTCTGTGGTCACCCCTAGCAAACATTTTTATGGCTAAATCATGTCTATTTTTTATTTGTTCTTTAAAGATTAGCTGAAAGGCAGATATAATGTAAATATAATTTTTGGTTGAATAATAATGGTGGCGCAGTAGTTAGAATGCAGTATTGCAGGCTAATTCAGTTCACTGCCAGGAGTTTGATCATCACCAGATCAAGTTTGACTCAGCCTTCCAAAGTCAGTAAAATGAGGACCCAGATTATTGGGGCCAATATGCTGACTCTGTAAACCACTTAGAGAGGGCTGTAAAGCACTAAAACACTATAAGTCTAAGTGCTATTGCTACTGAATAGTATTTTCTTGTAGTGAAAACTGACCCAGACTTGCTTACTCCAAACATACAGTTTGCCCTAGGTTTCTCACCTTTAGTTGAGGCTAGGGTTTTATAAGGATTCTAAATCTTTATTTGAAATATCAGCAGTGAGGAGGTTTAATGAGAAAATATAAACACTGTGTACCACCCAAAACTGTACCTCTTCCGATAGACTGGGTGATTCCCTACTGGGGATTCATAATCATTATCTTTAATCAATTAGCTTAAAGGTATGATGGTAACAGGTGACAATTCTAAATGAGAAGCCATGCACATCCCATCATAAACGCTGAGGCACTCCAAATCATACATTCAATAGTCCTTTAAAAGATAACATAGAGAAGAAATGTTATATGACTAAGAAGCTGCTAACTGGGTTTAGAAATAAATATTTGAAAGAAAGGTCTCACAGCAGTAGCACCATTTTATTATTACTATAAAAATGATTTATGGCAGTACACTAAATACTTTTGCCTGAATAACAGCTTTCCAAAGCATGTCTTTTAAAAAAAAACTATATTATTGCTGGATTTAAAATTAATTATCCAATCCAGAATAGATATTAAAGGAAATGGTGTTTTTATTCTTACGCAAACAAAATAATCTCCATTGTAAAAAATGTATGAAACTATTTAATATATTGTTGTTAGAAGAAAGCTAAAAGTACTAACCTGTGTAATCTGGTTGATTTATTACCATGTTTCCCCAAAAATAAGACCCGGTCTTATATTTTTTTTGCCTACAAAAGAGGCACCACATCTTATTTTTGGAGGTTGTCTTACCTTAGGACCACCACAGCCAGGTCTCCCAAACCCCGACAGCTGTCATGGCACTGCTTGACTTCTTCTGCAGCCGCTTGCCGCCACTTGTGACTGGACACCATGTGGTGAATTGCACCATTGCCACTGCTCGCTGCAGGACTTTGGGCCGCTTCTACTGCTAGCGGCAAGAAGCCACACAGCACTTTGGGCTAGTTCCACTGCTCGCATAGCACTTTGGGCCACTTCTGCTGCTTGTGGCAGGAGGCCACCTTGATTCTTTGGGCCGTTTCCACTGCTCGCGGCGGGAGCAGCGGAAACGGCCTGAAGTGCCACGTGGCCTCCTGCCGCAAGCAGCAGAAATGGCCCAAAGCGCTCTGCGAGCAGCAGAAGCAGCCTGAAGTGCTGTGTGAGCAGTGGAAGTGGCCCAAAGCACCATGCTGTGTCCTGCCGCGAGCAGCAGCAATGGTGCAATGCGCCACATGGCGTCTGGCTACAAGTGGCAGCAAGCGGCCGCAGAAGTCAAGCAGCAGTACAATAGGTGTCAGGGTGTTGGAGGCCTGGCTGTGGTGGTCCTATTGGCAGGATACGTGGGTGTGGAGCTCATGGGGCAGTTTCACCCCCCTTCCCCTGCCCTAACTTGATTTTTAGGGGTGTGTCTTTTCCCAAAAGTAGGGCTTAGTTTGGGGGTAGGGCTTATATTAGGCCCATTCCCAAAAATCAAGCTAGGGCTTACTATCGGGCTGAGTCTTACTTTCGGGGAAACACGGTAGTAGCATGTGGAGCCTAAAACCTGTCTTCCAAGCTTTAAAAGGCAACATGGCCATAGCTGAGGGTCAGCTGAACTAACTCCAACTGGCTAGATGATTTGACATTAGCCATTCAGCTTCTGACTCAAAGAGGGGAATTGAAATAAAAATGCTGATATATGTATGACTTTAGCCAGGAGAATCTTTGTCTGCAATGTGACTTCTCTACCTCTTCTATCTTCTCTGCCACTTTGACATTTGTCTTCAGGTATATTTTGACTACCACAGTGATTTTGAAGAAAGAACCTCAGTCATTAAATCCCAACAGCTTTCTCCTGGCAGAAGAAAAATGTTGGTGGTAGAGAGCAATTTCTACCAACAGGAGTGATTTATTCTGGTCCAATCCACTCAGTTGTGGATTGACCAATTTTCTTGGCACATCTTGGCATCAGGATTGTTCCAGAATACTGTAACAGTAACACATCAATTGTGTAAAAGCCATTTAAATTTAATGGAGTATATTCCAAGTAAATGATTATAAAACTGTAGCTTCAGAGGACGTTTTTGCCCCCAATTAATTGACAATAATCCTCTAAGATCATGTAGTGTTGGGCCCATGTTTAGTCAAAATATACTTTTTAATATATAATTTTTATTTTAAATTTTTGATTATAATAGTAAAAACATATAAACTTCAAGAGGAAGAAAAAATAAAATATGCAAGAAAAAAGGAGAAAATGAGAATATAATAAAGAAAAAAGAAATATATAAAGAAGTAACTTCCAGCATTCATCACAGATATAAACAAATAAAGTGTCTCCACCCCCTATAGGGACAGAAACAAATTTCTCTACATCACATATCCCATTCCTTATCTACAGACAAATCTATAACACATCAACTTTTCAGTCCAAACATCAACAAAAAAAATCATGAAGGGTTGCCAGCTTTATAACAATATACTGTATCTTATTTTGGTGAAATAAATCAACTTTACATTCCTTCCTTTTATTTTTAACAGCCTTAATCTTTACTTCATTCAAATATTGCTGTAGGATTGATTTATGTCAAGTTCTTCTTTGCTCCATTGCACAAATTTCTTCAAGGCTTTTCATAAATCCCAAAAGAAAAAAATCATCCAGGTCTCTGTTTTGGTTTGTCATTTGTATTTCTCTTTTGATTTTTAAAACACCAGCCAGTTTTGTTTTGTTTTGTTTTTTGTGAATTCAATAAAGCATCCAGTCATTCTCTGGTCTTTCATTTGTAAATCAACTCATAAAAAATGTGTTTGACTTCTGTCATTTCTTCAATAATCTTTTTGGATATAGTCTATCCATAGAAGCAGACATCATTACTAACACTGATGATATTATGGCTAATAATTTCAGGCTCCGTTCTTCAAATTCTCCTTTACTATTTCTAGCATTATAGCATTTTTCATCATTTATAAGTCCCTTGTACATAAAAGCTTGTAATTTTTTCCCCCTCTGATTAGGAACTTTAGTCCTCTCTAGTTTCTAAAATCATAACATTATTTATCTTTGTTATGCCTTGCAATGATAAATAAAAATCTGCCTCCCACAAAAAAATTATAAAGAATATAATTTATAATTAATTCCATAATGACATAGTAAAAGTCAATATTTTAAATTCACCTGGAACCTCCATCCATTTATAACTTTCTTAGATCAAAAGTTCTTATGCTTCTGA